GAATAGGATTATGAGCATGTCTCATTAGTCATTTGCAATGAATAATGAATTGATCCATCTGATCGTTTTGCATTGTTAACTCCTCATAAAGTAGTCCTTCGTTAAAACTATTCTTTAAATCTATTATCCCTTTTTGCTCATCCATAGACCCAAATATCACTAATATCTCCAAAAACAGTATTCTGCTATGTGTTTATTGGTGAAGATTGTGGGAGTGGAATGGATAATGCTTAATGGCCAGAGTCCACCTCTTTCAGAACACCATAGCAATCATGAGTACGTAAAAAAACCAATAAATCTTACTAAAAGTGATTTTTGTTTTTGGATTTCTTTTGGACCATCTATTAGATTTTGATCAGGTCCCCCATTATTTTATGTCCATCTTTAAGATCGACGTTTGAGAATCAGGGGTCACAAATACTTTTCCTAAACTAAATTTCGTAGTCTCCAAAAATTTATGCTACTCCATGTTATTGGTGAATATTTTGGGAGTCAGAAAGGACAATGGCTAACGGCCAGAGTCCATCCTTCTCTTTTAAATAATTAACTTACAAATTCCTGTTTACCGTTGAAGTCCAAGGGTTGCATTAAAGAGACGATGAGGACATGACTATTGTATATTAAAGAGGGGAAGGCAAAAGGGTGCATAATTATGGTACTTCCATTGTATTAGTATGTGTCTTGGTGTATTAACATGGATAGAATAATCATTCCATTCTTTTGTACTTAATAAGACTCATCCCTACAAATTGGCATTAGTAGGTATCGTGGTATTAACTTGAATAAGATTATCATTCCACTATTCGGACTTTATAAACTCATCCCAATGAAGTATAGTGTATTTGCCTTATTTCATTCAGCTATCCATGGACTTTACACGGTGCCTTGGGCTGTGCCGCCTCTTTCTTTAAACTGTTCTGAGGCTATTTTCTAGTCTCCAATACCCTGCAAAATAAATACCAATTACAACATTTGTTATGCATGAGATAAGATATATTTTAGAAGTAAATTAAATTTTTTTGTAATGAGAAAAGTTTATATTAGGTCGCAACCTTAAAATGTAGAATTAAGGTGCACCTCAAAAATCCATCGGAAAAGATCGTTTTGATGTTGGAAAACCCTCTACTTGATCACCTCGGCGTCGAGATTTATGAATATGTAAAAAAATAAAGTCCCAAAAATAGTGCATCTAGCAACACATTAACTAGACCATCCATTTTCAAGATTTTCATGTGTTTATAGATCTATTTGATTTGGACCATTTTTAGAGTTTAAAAATTCATAATTAGAGATGAAAATGGATTATAAGGCCCTCCTAAGAAATTTTTACACCAAAATTACATCTTATAGTAAAATTTGGAGGTGCACGTTAATTGGATTGTTTAAGGTCGGAACCTTATACAAACCATGCCCTTTTGTAATTGGAGATGTGATCATTTTATAAATAGGCTTAGTTCATCTCTCGGGGTAATTGGCCATGGTTGGAGGCTTCACCAACTATAGAAAAAGTCAATTATTGGTCCTGCCTCCCGTGTAGTGATGAGTTCATGGAGATAAAAAACCCGGCTGCCCTAATATGGTCCTTAATGAAAAATGAGTTTACTTTGTTGTTTGTATACTTGAAACAAAAAATGGGTTTGCCTTTTCTAGTCTGTAGTTTTCGACTTAAAAGTTTGTAGATATAGTGTGTACTATGTACCCCCAGCTCGACATTTTGGTGTATGTTCTTGGCTTCAAAAGAGAGACCTGGTTGTGGCTTAAGATTGTGAAGATGCTTCAAATTTTCAATCCCATTGCTAGGGGAATTTTGTCTAATGGCCATCCACGGCATCGATTCTCGTACTAGGGGAACAACATCAAAGGGCATTGAGGACAACCAGTATCAGGGTCCTCGTATTTTGGATCAAAAGGACCTTGATTCCACTACTGGGGGCTTCCTGTTATTGACAAGCGAGGTCTTGGCTTTCACAACTTTATAAACCATGGTGAAAACCACTTGAGGAACACGATTGTATTACTTTGGGAACCAAGTTTTGGACTCAGGAATTTCTTAATCCTCTAACCTATGGATCTCAATCCTTTAGGAATTAAACTGTGATCCCATATGCGTGGGATCCCTCTCCCTAACTACTAAAGCCGCGATCCCTAAAATTCAAGTCATACAGATAACAATCCCTAATAGGGTGGCCTACTACCCACAGTCCCATTCCTGTTCTTGAGCCCAACTATGGATGAAACATTTCCAGCTTTCTTCTTAGGGCAATTAATTTTTCTTTTTCATTCTCTTGGTGAAAACGTCAAATATGTAATCTAGTGTAAGCATCTACTGCTTGACCATGGGCCAGTCTGAGACAGCTCGACCAATGCAAGCGATGCCTATTTAAAAGGATCTAAAAAACTGTAAAAAATAATTTTAAAAATCATAGAATAAATAAATTAAGAGATAAATCAATAAAAATGCTATGTGCATCGATGAAAAATAGAAAGCTTATATATATTAAGAGTTTATCTGTGAGAGTGACAAACATTCATTTAACAATCCAAAGTGGAGTACATAAAATAATGGGTTCAATGGGCATGCATTCAAATTTGAAAGTGACAAATATACGAGTCAAATTACTCAATTCTAAAGCCATTATGAATGATGCGGAGGCTCAAAATCATTGTGATCATTGTCATCCTAAACGTCGTCATCCCCGCTTTCTCCACAATCGTTTAGGAATGAGTATTGTAGTTGAGTAACGTGGGTAGACCCTCCAAACCCGAAGCCCACAAGGCTAGTCCACAGTTTGTGCTTGCCCTCACACTGTTACTCTCCCTCAATCTCATTCACCTCTATGTCACCATCATCTATAGTACCTTCATCATCATCGTCATCATCATCATCATCTTCTTCTCCGACATTACTCCTCAATTTGTGCTCATCCCTCAACTTGAACTTCTCCAATGTACCTCTTGCTTCCCCACATCATCTCCTTCCTTGTCAATGGGGCCCATCTCTTCTTCTAGTAACCTCTTATTGAGAAGTGGTTAGGTTGGGGCTGCGAGAATGACTTGAGGCTAGGCCACTGTCTATTTTGCCGGTCGAACTTTTTGATTAGCCTTTGGCTGCTGTTTAGAGGGAAGTTGAACTTCTCATTGCATTTTAAGTCTTTTTAGCCATTTGAGAGCGTTTCATTGAAATTCGCCCTTTGGTCATGGTTCAGCTTTTGGCCACAGTTAAGATCTTTTCCTGTGATTATTCTCTCTATTCGCCTCCCAAGAGCTTTGCCACATGCCCAACATGTGTCAATCTCATGAGAAGTTTTTACTCATTTTTGCTACATGTACCTTATCTATTTCCATAAGCAATAGTTTTTGTTGCAGTTATGCATAACCTTCTGTATATGCTGCTTTCAAACTTTATTATTAGTTCTTCCTACCCACATTTTCGTTTTTTTGGTTCATTGAGAGCAGTGACTTTTAGCCACGGTTAGCCGAAAAACCCTTGTATCTTAAGATTTTTCCCAACCCAAATTTCTTCAAGTTTCTACAAAATTCGAAGTTTGTCCGAAGCTGGGTTTTTCAAGGGAAAATTGGCATGAGATCAATGCGTTTTAGAGACTTTTCTGAACATGCTGATTTAGAGAACTCTACCAAGTGCCTCACTTGGTTTGGTTGTATCTGGGGGCTGGGGGTATTCTCATCCCGACCCAATTGCATCTTGGATTCTCCAAGTTGTGGGTGTTAAATACGTCATAGACAGTGAGAGGGTCTCATGCGTTTAGGTCTAGTCATTGATGCTCTTCGAGTTTTTGGTGAAGTCAAGAGTTACATTTTTTGGAAATCTGCTACAGTTTAGAAAGTGGAGTATTAAGCTTTGTTTGGAACTTCAATTTTCACCATACTCTTTGACAGCTCAGAAAGTGGAGATTTAAGCTTGATTTTGCGCTCGGCATTTACTTTGACTGCAGTTATTTTTGACCTCGGTTAACCTTGGTTATGCATTTTGACCCTGGTTATTCATTTTCACCTTGATTATGCAGTTTTCACATACCTCAAGCAGAAAAGAAGGATTCTTTAAAACATTCAGAGACTCAAAAGCCAGCAACCACAACATAAAATTGAATGTGCATGTACTGGTGTTTCAACATCTTTTGGCAGCCTTCGTGTAAAAATTAGATCACAAAGAAATGCACGCTCATTGTCATGTCATTATAAAAGAAATTTACATTAAAATTAACACGATTATTTGACTTTACCTGGTCCATTGTGTGATGCCTTTATGCTGAACCAACCATTAATTGATCAATTCGTTTTCACCTTGAGATGATGTTCTCATACCGCCAATTCGTCTTCAGATCTTCCTCTTCATTATTTGTACCTCCTGCCTGCTGCTTATCTGCATTACGATAAGATAATAACGGAGCATTAGGCTTCCCCTTGGAGATATCAGGTTTTGGTTTAGCTTGCTTTGGCTTGCAATGTTGTGAATTCTCTCAAGGAATTGATGGAAACCATGCGTCATGTCTAAAGTGAAAGAATTCAAACAACTCAAAATTGAAAATAATGGTGGAAGTGTGAGCTTCATTAGCTTTCTAGTTTAACTAAGACTCTCAAAACAAACAATATTCAACTAGAATCCTATTTTGACCTCTATTTAAAGCTAAAACCTTAATTTATCGTTCAAGAATCCCAATTCCAATATAATTACAACTTCTAATTAATAAACAATTTGTAATGATATTGTATCCCTAATAAAATAAGTAATTCATAAGGATTTAACTACTTTTCCGAACTCCTCAGATACTCAAAAAAAAAAAGGATAAAAAGAAAAAAACAACTTGAAATCCCTCTAAGATTTAAAAATCCTAAAAATTCCAAAATACATCTGCAAAATTTTAATGGAAAATTTCTAGAAACATGAGGCATGTTGTTTTTATCATCCTGGGTGATTTCAAGTTATTTTACCAAATGTTTCATCCTAAATCCTATCATTTTCTTTTCATGGATTTTTGCAGAGATCAGAGTTGAGAGTGGAATGGATATTTTTGAAATACAGAAGAATCTTCGAAATCTCTACGAATATAATGTGAAGATGAGGGAGAAGTTCTTGACCCTTCAATCATTGGTCATAGATGTGATCCAGAGACTCCCTCCTACTACCGATGCTAATAACCAAAAAAGAGAAACCAATTGAAGTACGAAAAAATAAAAGAGTTTTCAGTATTATGAGACCATTGGTCCCCTTGGTGCTTCTGAGATCATCAATGATCTCAGTATTATGAGGTCACTGGTGCCATTGTAGTTACTTGGAAATTGTTGAGGATTGGTCCGTCACGAGGATATTCATATTTTGTTGGGTGCAAAAGTTGGGCTCACACATGCTACCGATTCCTTGCATCCTCTCGAGCAATGAGAGACAAAAAGTGTGGATATAGTTCATCTCATAACAGGTCGTAGGCCTTTGCTGCTTGTGCATTTAGTTGGTTCTTTCATTTGTACTGCAGCCATCTCTGTAATCTCTCTACCAAGCATCAGGCATAATTGTAACAATTTTTTTTTTTTAATTGTATTCCTTATCTAGCAGTCATGACTGCAAAATATGTCTTGGTATTCTCTCTCTTGCCAAGGAAACTGTCAGATACGCCTATGCTCAAGCAAAGAGAGGCAAGTGGTGTGGATATAGCTCATCTCGTAACAGGTTGACGGTTTTTGCTGCTTGCGTTGTGCATTTGGTTGGTTCTTTCATTTGTATTGTAATCTCTCTACCAAGCATCAGGCATTATTGTAACATCTTTTTGTTTTTTTTTTTGTTTTAATTTTATTCCCTATCTAGCAGTCATGACTACAAAAAATGCCTTGTTATTCTCTATCTTGCCAAGGAAACTATCAGATACGCCTCATGTCTCACGAATGGGTTGAAGACATTTCTTTCTCCTTATTTGGCTCCCCTGTTTGAATGTTTTGCATTCTTCTACTTGTTTTTATTTTGGGTATCTGGTTAGCCTTTCGGGAAGGGCTAGGAGACTGCTCTCTTAGACCGTAATTGCTGGTTCTAAACTAAGGGGGCAGGTGACATCTGATCGATCTGGGGCGTGCATTAAAGGTGTAAACTCTTCCAATGCTCTATTTTGCTTTGTTCCATTCTCAGCGAACTTGTCCAACCTATCAGCAGTGTTGGTCGGGAACTCTCAAGAGTTGATCCTCAGTTGATGGTTTGAAGTAATCAAGTAAGAAAGATTGTTTCATGTGGTGGGGACCGCATTTCTATAGTTGCGGTCCCTGAAGTATAAAGTATCCATCTTAATAGGTGGTCTATCTAAAAACAATTGAAACTCACAGTTCAAATGTCTTTTTTAATAAAATTATCATTTTTAATTTTTAAATTTATTTATTTTTTCATATTCATGATTTCGATGTTAGAGGTTATGTGTCCTTAAAATTCATCTCAAAAATAGATTTTTAAACGGTGACTTAGACTCGTAGAAACTTGTCCATCAAGTAGAGCTCTCACTATGTGCAATTTGAGAGGGTAAGCTTCCTTACTACGTGCTAATGGCGACTGTTTTGGAGTTCATTCCTCATTGAAATGAAGTGGCTTATCTTACGTGCCATTGATGGTGATTAGTTACAAGGTATGCTAGTTGAAATGGATATAGAGTTTTGGTGCATCAGGAAGCGGAAGCACCTATGCAATTCAAATGCGGTCTCCTTCGAACAATGATTTTGGACCAAAGATTTCACAAGATATCTCGAATGATCTTAAAAAAAAAAGGTGGTGGGGGCTGGGGGAGGATTTTGAAACCTTGAAAGTAGCCTGTTTTGAATTTTTTTTTCGACTAATTATCATTGTTCATCATCAGATTTTGTCAATTTTCGAGCTATAAAATCATGAATGTAGAGCAAAAATATATTTGAAGCGACTTAGGATGTGGTTTAGGTCCTATTTACATTTCTAGGATGAGTTTTTTTTAAAAGGGACTTGATATGAGTAGGACCTTGAAAATCTTTCCGAAAAACGCACCTATCGATTACCTTGTATGAGTGGGGATATATTGGAGCGCTTAAGAAAATTGTGGAAAGCCCATGGTGAACTTTGAAATAGCTTAACCCAAAATTTGATATTGGGAAATTTTTAAAAAATAGAAAAGTTGAACTTATTTATTAGTCTTGTGTGTAATTGGATAATTTTCTAAAGGAAAATTGTTTCATGTGGGCTGGACTGTACTACGGTAACAAAAAGGGTAGAGCATTCATCTTAAAGATGGATGCAAGTACGTATTCCATCTAATAACAATGCAAACTAACGGTTCAAATATTGTACTACTAGAATTATTATTTTAGTTTTTAAAATTTATTTATTTTTTCATATTGGACAAAGGTTTTGCATAATGTTCAGGAAGTATCTGGACCAAGGCTATTGGGGTTGGTTGAAAAGGTAAATTAGCTATTTCTGTATGACTTTCTTGTGGAGACAATATCTATGAGATTTGAGTGTTGCTTATTTCATTTACCTCATTGTTGTCTGAATATGCAATAGACAATAGGGTTTCTGAAGTCTGCTCATCATCAAGAGAGAACACAGATTCTAAATCAACATCAATTTCTTCATCCAGGACTTGTGAAAGAAGGTGGATAATCTTTTTCTTCTTTTTTTGATTAGGGCAATTTTTTGCAAAATGACCCTTTTTGCCATAGACATAACATCTATCTCCTTTTTAGTATTTAAAATTTCGAAATCTTGATCTTCTGAGAATTTAAATCTCTTGAATTTTTTCTTATGCCTTCGGTGTTTGAGGTTTTTGTCATCTTTCCATTTTTCCCAAACTTGTTATCCAGCACAAACGGTTAGGATCTCATTTGCCCAATAAAGAACTATTACTTGGATTTGATGTCCTACACCAGGTAAAACTTCAATGGACCTCCAAAGGATTACATTATAGGAACTTAACCTTGGATTGCTACTTTAGACCAACCTCACAGTTTAGAAGCCATTCAACAAAAATTTTTGACAAACTGCTATGCAAATTCCCATACTGAGTTTCTCAACAAATGCAAAAACCCTCTTTGGATAAACCAGAACTTTTATGTCAAACTACCTTTCAAGAAGAATGAGGACATAAATCCCACAAAAACTTCTCACAGAGGTTTAAATCCTGATATTTTGGATTAAGCTAAACTAGAAATTCAAGATTTGATAAAGAAGCAATTGATTGAACCTACAAGTTCTCCTTGGGCTTGTAAAGCCTTTTATGTAAATAAAAGAGCAGAACAAATCAGAGGAAAACTTAGTTTAGTAATCAATTATCAACCTTTGAATGTTTTTCTTGCAGATGATAAATTTCCTCTGCCAAACCAAATTGCACTATTCTCTCAAATCTCACATGTACATATCTTTTCTAAATTTAATTTAAAATCAGGTTTTTGGCAAATAGGAATTCTTCCTGATGATCGTCCTAAAACAGCTTTTTGTTTACCAAATTATCATATTTTCAATAGACTGTAAATCACAACAAGTATAGCAATCACAAGTATCAAACCAGTTATGACCATCGACAGTTTTTTGTTCATAAACTGGCTTTTTTGTTTTATCAAAAGCAACAACATGGACTTTTTTAAAGTAATCCATAAAATTGGGTTGGAAATATTTCTCTAGTCTGGTTCTCTGTTATCCTTTGATTTTGAAAGTTTATCTGTACAGTTCCATCTGGCATTCTAATCATTCTAGAATCTGATTGCATCAATGGCTGATTTTGAAGAGGTTCATAATTTGTCACCCATGTAGATAGAATTAATTCAAGCAACCTTTCTCGAGAGATTTGTCTAGGAATATAATGACAGACAGGTTGGGAATTGTTATCAACTTAGATATCATGATCTCCATTTTAGAGATTACATGTCCTTAAAAATTAAGTCCAAAAAGCCATCTCAAAAATAGATTTATTAAGAAGCCTGCATTTCTACATATACGGGCTTGGCCACAAAGAATCCGGGTCCTTTTCAAACTCCATTTTGATGTGTTGTTCAATAGATTATTTGAGATTTGATAAAAAGGAATGATGAGATATTTGTAATTAGATAAAAAAATATAGGTTGGATGTTAAATAGCTCTTAATAACAGTTTTATAATTTTACCTTTAATATTTAATATTGATTGATTGTTAGATGTTTATGATTCTCCATCTACTATTGCATTTTTAAAGTTAGATTTTACAAAGGTAATTGCTTAAAAGAAATTCAAAATTTTTTAAATTGGCTCTGTCCAAAGTCAGGAACCCAGAACAACTAAGGGTGTTTTATCTTGTTTTAACATAATTTGCTAATTTGTTTTGTGTGAACCTTGTGGTTTAAGGGTTATTTGAGGGAAACCTTTACGTACCAAATTTTTGGAGAAAAACATATTTGTATCATATATATCCCACCATTTTATAGATATTTGTCTCTGTAATTTGGGAATATAATCTCATATGTCTTCATCAAGATTGATTATATATGACCTTTTTATTATCCAAGGGACCTCGTATAAGGCCATAAAGTAAATATGGTAATCCCTTTTAAGAACATGCTTGTTATAATCTGCAATTGTTTGTTGGGCTATTAGCACTTCATTCGGGAGAATATCAGGATTTGATCCCGATACTAAGAATCAGCTTTTAATCCAGTTAGGAAAATCTTCTGAAGATTGTAATAATCAAAACTTTAAAAACCAACTATGAGCTGCAACTGTATTTTGATATGAACATATTATATTTCAAGCTTTGATATAATCATAATAATTATATGCTCTGATTTTAGAAGTATTACTTTGCAAGTATCTTGGTTTTAACGAAACCAAACCTATTCTTTATAAGACATGATATTTAATATCGTCATTTTTAGTATGCCAACTTAGTATGGTTTTTATAATGGTGTTTTATATATATCGACTATGTTTCGGTCAGTATTCTTTCAAAATACTCCCCATCTTTCCGTCACATATTAGGGTGCATTTGATCTTTTAGGTATATCTCAGCCATTGTTCTTGGCATTTGAGCCACATGATCCTCTTCTATTATTATCAGAGGAATAATAGACGTTTCTATATAAGGAGTCATTTGTGATGATGGAATAGACTTTGAGTCATTGCCATTATTCTAGATATAATATCTTGTTTTGGTGAAGTCCTAGTTAAGGACAATGAAGAAGCGGCTCATTTAGCTAATATCTTATTCGGACTCTGGATTAGTGCTTTATCTGGATTATGTATCATTTTCTGCTGTCTTCTGTCCCTGCAAAATTCTCTAGTCAAGAAATTAGGCAAACAATTTGATTCTCCTTTAATATGCTCTATTTCAAAATCAAACTCAGAGAGGATAGCTTGCCATCGTGCAAACATTTATTTTGAAGCTAAGTTTTTCACATCTTTTATTAAAATTTCTTTGACAGATTTGCTATCAGTTCTTACCAAAAACTTTTTATTAAGAAGATCACTTTCAAATTTAGTGATGCAATGTACAATGGCTAAAACATCTTTCTTAACTATAGAATATTTTTGTTGTGCTGGATTCCAAGCCATAGAAGTGAATCTTACCAACCGTTCTTTTTTATTATTAGGAAATTTTTGCTTAAGAATCCCTCCTAATCCTATTTTTGAAGCATCTGTTTTTACTAGGGACGGCTCAGCATGGTAGCTCTTTAGCTTTAAGTTTTATTTTTTTAACTGCCTTAGTATGTTCATTTATCCATTCTGGTGGATTCTTTTTAAGCCGATGAAATAAATGTTTGTAATTCAAGGCTAAATCTTTATAATAATATGAAATATAATTTAAACTTCTTAAGAACCTCTAAAGTTGTTTTTTGTTTTTATTTTTATCAAGAAATTTATCTTCAAATTGTATTTCCCATTCAATTGGGGAA